ATACATATTCCGTATATACTTTGACGTATTTCCATGTTGTCTAGCTTCACGGTACATGGTGGTTATGAGCACCAGTTCTGAGTAAGACTGATCCGGACTGAAGTCTTGGCACCACCACATGAGCTAGACTGTGACTGAGGTCAAGTCCCTTACCCCTTCAGGCCTCAGGTGCTTCGTCTATAGAAGAAAGCCTACAGAAAGGCCTTCTGGGAGGCTGACGTGCTCCTCGTACACGGTGCCACTCGCCGTGACAGGCGTCCGTGTCGGCTCTGTCCGCACTGCTGCTAGAACAAGAGCAGCCCAGGGGCCATCACTCACACCCATACAAAGAGAATATTCTTCCTGAGGTTCCGCAGCACAGAAATACGAACACCAACTTTTGAATCATTTAAGCCTGAACGTCAGGTGTGAACGTCTGTTTCCTCGGGTGAAGGTGAGACGGCTCCATCCCATCCCCCAGGCTGCCCTAAGGATGAACCATGTAGGAGGACCGAGCCCTGGCCCTCCAACGGCGCTCCAAGTGCCACCATTAGTCCCAGGCACCGGAGGAATTCAAAGTAGAAGGCCAAATATTGTTTGCTCACCTTTTGGCAAGGTCCTCGACAGCCCAGCCTCTGGCACAAATAGGCAAGCCATCAGGGCAGAGCTGGGGAGGGCCTGCCAGGACCAAATGGGAAACAGAGCTTCTGAGTCCTGTTCCCTCCCCTCAGAGGGACACTAAACGTGCTCCTGTTCAGGGACACCTGCATGGCTGTGCTGTGCTGCGCAGGAGAAAAGGGCAAATAGCACCCGTGGGTGAGGTGGGGCTGAAAATACTGTTTGTTACCAAGGAAATAGCGGGAGCAATTCATAAGGCTAGGGTATTAAGTACAGGAACTGAGAGCTAAGCCTATTCTTTCTCTCCTTGAGTTTCCTACAGTGTCCAATTGTGCTAAGTAAGGCTATTTGTTATATACCGGCACTGCCGACGCAGGAGAAAAACACGTACACGGCATCAAGAGAACTCACTGTTCACAAGCAAGGAGGGTACCAGCCACAGGGCTTGCAACCACACGGCGCTTCACGCTGTGACTTCATCTGTGAAATAAAGTAATCTAGAAAGCCTGGCCACTCAAGGAGGACGTTTCAACAGCGGCAGCCAGACACCGTTTCTCTTTGAAAAGTTCATTGCTCAAACAGGAGGCTGCAATACGCCAGCACTGAACAGCAGTCCTAGAACACTGATGATCGGACACCGCTAGCCCTCATCAATAGGACTATTAGAGTTAGCTCTCAGCCCGTTCAGCCTTTACACACAAACCCATTCACAACCCCTGGAGTTGGAGAGGTTTCTTTTATTAACTTTAAGGTAGCATATTACTAAAGCCAATTAAAACCAAAAATCGGGTCTGATTTTACTACAGCATTTCCTTAGAGATGATAAATCAGGAAAACACAAAGAAGGCTTGCCCAGAGACAAAGCTGGCAGCCCTGAGGAGTTACCTATAATCTGTGGTAAGGCTAAGTGTTCAATTTGATCAGTTGGGTTGCTTTTGACACAGGTGATCCTTGAACACGGGTTTGGGCTGTGCAGGGTCACTTACATATGGATTTTTTTAATAATTACAGTACTATAAAATGTATTTTCCTTAAGATTTTCTTAAAATTTTCTCTTATTATAAAAGAATAAAGTATATAATACATATAACATATAAAATGTGTTGACTGCTTATGTTATCAGTAAAGCTTCCAGTAAATTGTAGGCTATTAGTAGTTAAGTAGTTATGAATGGATTTTTGACTACACAGGGAGGGAGGGGTTGGTGCCCGTAAGCCCTGTGCTGTTCAAGGTCAAACTGCAATTTATTCATTATTTTACTACATACTCCATGATAGCTCTTTTAAAATGAACAAAAAGTTTTAAGAAACTGAAACTGAAAACCACACACATACACATATGCACACTTTGTTGTGTCTCTTGGAAATCCAATGGCTCAGGGTGGGGTCCCCAGGTTACTTATCAAAACTTTTGGAATAAAGGCCAAGCAACTCCCTTTTTGGTGGGCAGTTAATCTCAGCAGGAAGCACTTCTGTGACATGGAGGTTAAGGCTCATATATGACAAATCTGCTCTGTGGAGCCTTCACAAATCAAGTCTAATGGGATTCCAGACATGGCCTAACAGGAAAGGGGCCAGCCATTTCTCCAGACTGGATTCCTCTGTGAAAAAGACCACACTTAATACAAAATAAATGTGGTAATCCAGGGACAGCACATTCACTTTATATAAATTATAAAATTACAAAATTAGGCAAAGATTCTCCATGTCTCCAGGCATTTGTCTCAAGTGGATTCTCAAGCTTTAACACATACCTAATTAGGGCTTAGGATAAGAATTTTTCCTTATGGGAACAAAATCCTCTATTAACCACACTAAAAATCCTTAAATGAAAGACTCTGAAAGCTGGTACAAGTTGAGGATTCAAGGCACAATCTTAATATGCAAATGTCTAGAGGAGGTGAGGATCTGTTCATTTTAGGATTTAAGTGCAAACATTTTTACCAAAATCCCTCCAGAAGAAGTCTCCCCTGAGGCACTGGTGTCCTCTGACTTACCAGACAGAGCTAGAGTGACGTGAAACTTATTTCCCTTTCTTCTAGCCATGACTTCCAGGAAGTTCAAGAGTCAAATTATACACTTGATAATAGCAACATGTTCACTTTTCCTTTCATTTTCACTGATTTTGTTTTCTCCCTTTCGGATCATATTTTATTACCATTGTACAGGTCTTATTTGGGTATGGTGCTTCAAGTTCTTTTGGGAAAGATGTCAGGTATAAATACATTGCAAATACAGACCGAAAAAGCAATCATATATTGTGATTACTTTTAGGATACAAAAGAAAGCATCTATGCCTTCATGGCACGCCTTCATAAAAAAGCAGCATTTCAGAATTACCTTAATAAATACCTAAATTCGACACTAGCAGGCCGGAGAGCTCATTAAGTCCCCAATTCTCCGATTTTACACCAAGAACAGACCTATTCCCTGAGTACAACCTTAGTTATCTTCATCAGTCCCCACTCTGGCTTTAGCCCTAAGGCTAAAGGATTAGAAATTGTCTATGCTTAGCTCTGTGACCCTAGGTAAGTCATTAACATCTGATTAGCTCAGTTTCCTCCTTCATAACAAGAGGGCAACTAATTCTCTTCCAACACTGCAAAACTCATTATGATTAGGTAAATGCAGTCTTGTTCTTAAAGTACAGTATATATGGAAGATATTATACTATCATACACATTAGAAGCCTAATGAGCTTAAGAGCTTTATACTCGTGGCAAAAACTTTTCAGTCCAAATTCATAGTTTCTTTGGCAACAACATGATAGAGGCAGAGAAGTCAATATAATAAACACTCAGTGATACACCAAATAATGAAAGAAAGCATTTCTATACATAAAACATGATTTATGCCTATTTTCATTTTTTACATTAAGATGTAAACATCCCATTATCCAAAATAGCTGGTGAAAAAACAACAAAAACAGAAAATAAATTAAGCCTTTAAAGACAGTTGGTGAGTTATAAAGTGTCCTTGCTGAATGATCCAAATACCAAACACAATAACTCAATAGGGAGAACCAAACTGAACCAAACAGGTGAGAGAGCTATAAAGTATCAACATATAGCAAAATCACAAGAGAACTCTTCTTGTTTTAACCATTAGTTCAGAAAAATCTTTCTAAACTGAACCACTTCACTTTCCTGGCTCTGTAAGTACAAAATGCCAAACACAAATCAATTTTATTTTGATGATTTAGGATCATTTAGGTAGCTCTCAGAATATATATAATTTCTGTCAGTTTTGTTAGAGGCAGAAAACTGAAATGAACTAGAGTTTCCTGTTTTAAATAAATCCCTGATATTACAAACTTATTGTCTTCCCCTTGCCTCATTCTCCTAAAAGGGGAGTGCAGCAAAAAAGGTTCTAGTTAGACAAGATTTTACAGTTGCAGACATCCTACATATATGGGGTTCAGGCAAACATGGTAGTTCAAGGATTTTACCCCTCTGGACCATTCTGCTTAATTAATACTCTCAGTAATATGAATTATATGGAACGGGTCCACTGTTTTCTGAATATCAAATTTCAGTGCCTTATGTATTCTTTGCTTGGAATCTCTTCTTTGAAAACAAAGGAAAATCATAAATGAAGGTGCCTTCCAAAACCAGGAGAGTTGCCGATTTTGCTAATGGAATCAAACTGTGCTTCCTATATCAATTCATAACTGTTCGAACAACCTTTGTAATATTATCAAAAAGCAAACAAATTCTCTAAGATACTAGGGGCTAAACTCCTCAAAGCCATAAAACAATAAAAGAATTGCTGGGAGCTAATACATTTCAGTATTTCCATGGAGCAGGACCCATACCATTGGTGGCACACCAGAGGATTTTAGGTGGTATACAACACAGAACTAAATAATGGAGAATCACAGTGAGAATGTCATTCCCTTTACAATTTTCTTTTATTCTTCTGATAATTCCACAGAGAGAGCCCCATTTTGGTGCTGGGTAACATCTCTCTCACTGGAACAAAGAGCAGACTTCTTGGGTTCAGAGCCTTGGGAGGCATTAGTATCTAGTTAGAACTGGATAACATTTTTTGTTTTATTTTGTAGTTATTCACGGCAAATTGATGCTGGTTTTCCTCTTGGAGTAGAGATTCGTTTGTTTTTGAACTATTTTAAGATTTAAAAGATAAATACTAAGAAACAATAGTAAATGTAATATTCTGGTGATTGAAGTTTGGGAAACGATGGCTATAATGTAACAAATCATGTTTAAAAAGTGATTTCAAAAGAAACTACAAACAGGGGCTAGAAAGAAAACATGTTACTTGTTTTCAATACTTGTGATGATCTAGAGATGAGCTCATAAAAGCCTTCTCCTACATCAAGCGACTCCAGAGTAATATTCAAACAAACATATAAAAGGAAAAAGAACCAATTCCACACCATCCTGGACTTTATAAACTTATTGTACCATAAATGTGCAAATAATCTGATATTTAGCAAGTTGTTTTAAACATAAACTTCACAGCATCTTTTTATTTGGGCTATACTCATGCCTCACAAAGGCAAACCCAGGTTGTAGAGTTCCTGCTTGGTCCTCAGAGCATGTACCACACATATTTTTTTATTGAACTCTTCAGAAGGATTCAGGACTGCTGGCCAAGTCTTCCAGTAGCTTCTGACTGTTCTTCCACTGTTGTGGCCCTGTAGAGAGAAGTCTCCTCCTCTTCTGAATAATAATAATCTCATGGCTAACATGAGGACTTTGCCTAGCAGGTACTGCATGCTCCCAGGCATGCCATGCTGACTTAAAACAAAAAGGATAGTTGGAGAGAAAGAAAGCAGAGCTTCTGGATTGTGGTGAACAGTTTCTTCATCACAGTGGCAGTTAAGATAGGCTCCCTCCTTTTTCCTTGGAAGCCAGGGCAGTATGTCTGAAGGATGGTATCAGACATCATAATCAGGAGCCTTGCCCTGGGCCTGCCTTAGCCATATCTGTAGCGTAACAAACGCTCCCACAGTCACGTGAAAGAAAAGCTGCCACAGGTTGCGCAGTTCATAGAGATACATGTTGCATAGACAGATTAAACCAAAAGTCAAAAAAGATTTGACATTCCGCCAGCTGGTGTAGTAGACAAGTAAATAACACTGTTCAAAATATAAAATGAAAGATGATTAGGGTTACAAGAAAAGAAATAGATGCTTCTACTATAAAATTTTAACAGGCCACAGACTAGAATATAAGTGTGGAATAAGATTTTTCATCTACAGATAAGATAATGTAACCTCTTTAAGACATTCAGCTATGAAAGCTCTACAGCTTGAAAGGAAAACAGATTTTTCCTTTTATGTTTTTCATTTGTCAAAAGATACAACATTTTGTATCATATTTAAAGTGGAGTTACAACTGGATGACTCCCTTGCAACCAGGCTGAACACATTCCTCAAGGTGACAGGCAACTATGAAGCATTCTCAGGGTCTGAGGGGATTCCATCTACCATTCTTACTCTAGAAAAGTACAAAAAACAAACCACAGCAAAATGGACTCTTATATAACTTGAATCTGCATGTTAATGAAATCCACAAATATCTACTAATCCCCCTAAGTGCAAAGAACTAAGCAAGATAGAATATTTGAGTGAGCATTTGAGGTAGAATTTATTCAACAGATGTTTATTGAGGGCCAGCTAAGAGTTAGACATTGTTCTTTAACTTCAAATAACCAAATAAAGCCCTTGCTCACATGGAGCTTACATTCCAGTGGAGAGAGAAAGATATATACATATATATATGTATATAATACATATAATATATAAAAGATTATAATAAAATATAAAATGTTATATATTAATAATTACAATATAGAAATATAAAAGATTATATATGTATATAATATATAAAAGATAATATATATGTATGTAAGTATATAAAATGCCAAATAGTTATATCTTAAAAGATGGAACAAGAGGACAGAGGATGATGTAGTAAGTGCTATTTTAGAAAATATAGTAAAGAAAATATCCTCCACAAGCCCCAAATCATGGCATTCACCTTTTCCTGCTTTACTATTCTCCATAATATAACTATAAAAACACTTTAAAAATATGCTTCCAAAAGGATCTTCTTATATATTTTTAAAAATATTTTATTTATTTATTTATTCACGAGAGAGACAGACAGAGACACAGGCAGAGGGAGAAGCAGGCTCCATGCAGGGAGCCCGATGCGGGACTCGATCCCAGGACTTCAGGACCACACCCCGGGCCCAAGGCAGGCACTAAACCACTGAGCCACCCAGGGATCCCCCAGAAACTCACTTCAAATGATATAGGCAAGGTGGAAGTAAAAAGACAGAGGATATATTATGCAAACATTAATCAGAAGAAAACAGAAATTACTATATTAGTATCAGATAAATATAAAAATATTTCCAAAAAGAGAGAGGGCTAAAGAGACTATAAATCGCATATTATATAGTGATACATAGATCAACCCACCACGAAGGCAATAATGCCAAATGTGTATGAGCCAAACAACAGAGCTACAAAATATGCAAAGCAAAAACTGATATATTAAAATGAGAAATATACCAATCCACAATTACACTTGAAAACTCCAGGGGGATCCCTGGGTGGCTCAGTGGTTTAGCGCCTGCCTTTGGCCCAGGGAGTGATCTTGGAGTCCTGGGATCGAGTCCCACGTCAGGCTCCCGGTATGGAGCCTGCTTCTCCCTCCTCCTGTGTCTCTGCCTCTCTCTCTCTATCATTCATAAATGAATGAATGAATGAATGAATGAATGAATGAATGAATGAATGAATGAATGAATAAAAAGAAAATTCCAGTACTCCTCTCTCAACTGATAAGACTAAACAGAAAATCAACTAGCATACAGAAACAAACACTGAACACCATCAACCATTGGATCTAGTTGACATTTACAGAGCACTTACTCAGCTGCAGTAGAATACACATTCTGTTTAACTGCTCATGGAACATATACCAAGACAGACCATATTCTGAGCCAAAGAATAAATCTCAACAAATTTAAAAGAACTGAAATCACACAGAGTGTTTTCAACCACAGTAGAATCAAACTAGAAATCAATAATGGAAAGAAAACTGGAAAATCTCCAAACTCTTGGAAGCAAAACATTAATTCCAAATAATCCACAATCCATAGGTCAAAGAGGAAGCTACAAGGAAAAAAGGTTTTTAAATACATTGAATTAAATGAAAATAAAAATCCTCTTGTAAAAAGCTCAAATACCCATTGACTGATGAATAGATAAAGAAGATGTGGAGTGTATGGGTATGTGCGTGTGTGTAGATATTCTATTTTAATATATATATGTTTTATATATATATTCTATTATATATATATTATATATATTCTATATATTTTTTATTTTGTATATATATAAACATACACACACACACACACACACATATTCCATTATATGTGTATGTAACGCTCCATTTATATAATGGAATATTACTCAGCCATAAAAAAAGAATGAAATCTTACCATTTGCAATTTGCAATGACATGAATAGAGCCAGAAATTATTATGCTAAGTGAACTAAGCCAAAGAAAGGCAAATATCTCATAGATCTCATTTATATATGGAATTTAAGAAACAAAACAGATGAAATGGGAAGGGGGGAATGAGGCAAACCTGGAAACAGACTCTTAACCACAGAGAACAAACAGGGTTGCTGGAAAGGAGGCGGGCAGAGGGATGGGTGAAATAGGTGATGGGGACTAAGGAGGGCACTTGTGATGAACACTGGGTGTTGTATTTCAGTAAGAATCACTAGATTCTACACCTGAAACCAGTATTACACCTATATTAACTATATAAAATTTAATAAAAACTTGAGAAAGAAAAAAATAAAAATTTTAATGAAAAAAAACGTAACATATCAAAATTTATGGGACACAGATAATGGTGTTCAAAGAGAGAAATATTTAACACTAAAAATATATATTACAAAAGAGAAGATTCTCAATTATCATAGCTCCCATCGCAAAAGCCTAGAAAAGAAGAGCCAAATAAATCAAAGCAAGCATGAAGAAGGAAATAATAAAGAGTAGAAATCAATAGAACTGAATATACAAAAAAAAAAAACCAACAAAACAAAGAGCAGGTTCTTTGAAAAGTTCAAATTAATAAGTCTGACAAAGAAAAAGAGAAGATACAATATGAGGAATGAAACAGAGTATTAGGGACACCTGGGTAGCTCAGTGGTTGAGCATCTGCCTTCGGCCCAGGTCATGACCCTGGGATCCTAGGATCAAGTCCCACATCGGGCTCCCTGCAGGGAGCCTGCTTCTCCCTCTGCCTATGTCTCTCATGAATAAATAAAATCTTTTTTTTTTTTAAAGAAACAGAATATTACTACAGTACTACAGATCATACAGACATCAAAAGGATAGTTAAGGGATACTCAACCAACTCTACACACATAAACTTGGTAATGAAATAGACCACTTCATCATAAAATACAAACTATCATAAGTCATGTATTATGAGAAAGATAATCCGAGTAACTATGTAACTATTAGGAAAATGGAACTTCATATAGATTATATAGTCATGGTAATCAATACCATGTGGTACTGGCAGAGAGAATGACACATACATTAATAAAAGAGAATACAAAATTCAGAAATAGGCTCACACAAATATGTCCAACTGATGTTTGACAAAATGCAAAAGTAATTCAGTGGAGAAAAAAAAACCTTTTTTAAAAAAATGGAGCAATTGACCATTCATCCATAAGCCAAAACAACAACAAAGTTTAAAAAACAGAGGGGTGATAATTTGTGCGGAGGCCACTACACTCCCCAGCGACCTCCCAGTGACTTGCCACCTAAGCAGCACCTTAGCGAAGATCGTGGAGATCGAAGCCGAGATGGCTTGGACTCAAAAGAACAAGGCCACCGCATACCACCTAGGGCTGCTGAAGGCTCGTAAGAGAGCCCTGCTAAGCTTCGTAGAGATCTCATTACCCCAAAAGGTGGTGGTGGTGGTGGGCCAGGAGAAGGTTTTGATGTGGCCAAGACAGGTGATGCTAGAATTGGGTTTGTGGGTTTTCCATCAGTGGGGAAGTCAACACTGCTTAGTAACCTGGCAGGGGTATATTCTGGGGTGGTAGCCTATGAGTTCACTACTCTGACTACTGTGCCTGGTGTTATCAGATACAAAGGTGCCAAGATCCAGCTCCTGGATCTTCCAGGTATCATTGAGGGTGCCAAGGATGGGAAAGGTAGAGGCCAGGCCGTCAAGTCACTGCAGTGGCCCAAACATGTAACTTGGATCCTGATTGTTCTGGATGTCTTGAAACCCTTGGGACATAAAAAGATAATTGAAAATGAGCTGGTAGGCTTTGACATTCGCTTGAACAGAAAACCCCCCAACAATGGCTTTAAGAAGAAGGACAAAGGAGGCATTAATCTCACAGCCACTTGCCCTCAGAGCAAGATGGATGCTGAGACTGTGAAGAGCATTCTGGCTGAATCCAAAATTCACAATGCTGATGTGACTGCGTAGTGATGCCACAGCAGACGACCTCATCCATGGTGGAAGGTGGTGGAAGGAAACAGAGTTTATATCCCTTGTATCTATGTGCTGAATAAGATTGATCAGATCTCCATTGAGGAACTGTACATCAACTATAAGGGGCCCTACTGTGTACCCATTTCTGCCCATCACCACCAGAATTGTGATGACCTATTGAAAAAGATCTGGGACTATCTGAAACTAGTAAGGATTTACACCAAACCCAAAGGCCAACTGCCAGACTATACATCTCCAGTGGTGCTGCCTTATTCCAGGACTACAGCAGAGGATTTCTGCATGAAGATTCACAAAAATCTTATCAAAGAATTTAAATATGCTCTGGTCTGGGGTCTATCTGTGAAAGATAATCCTCAAAAAGTGGGTAAAGTTGGAGGACAAGGATGTCATTCAGATTGTGAAGAAGTGAAACCTTCCCTTCTGCCCATCTACTGGTCCAACCATAGCAGCTTATCCTATGAACAAGCACACCCTATCCCAAACCCCTTCTGGCTTTGGCAGCCAGTGGATCAGGAATCAGGGGAGGGAGATGGAGGCCCTCAAACTGGAACTTTGTCTTACCTTGGTGTCACCTTATAAATTCAACTGCATAAAGGACCTGGTAGGCCAGCCAGCTATGTGCAAAACAAAAGTCCAAAAAACAAAAACAAAAACCACAAACCCCTTAATCTAATCATCTAAGTCTCAAATTTCATGTAATCTTATACAAAATTTAATTAAAAATGGGTCATGAACTTAAATGTAAAACATAAAACTAAAACTTTTAGAAGAAAACAAAATCTTCAGGGGGTAGGGAAAGAGTTCTTAGACTTGAATCAATGGAATTATAATAACATATGGTGACAGATGGTTGCTACACTGTGGTGAGCATAGCAAAAGGTATAAACTTGTGGAATCACTATGTTGTACACCTGAAACTATACTTCAATTAAAAAAAAAAGTTCTTAGACTAGATACCAAATTTTCCATAAAAGAAAAAACCTGATAAAATGAACTTTATCAAAATTAAAAACTTTCGCTCTGCAAAAGACCTGGTTAAAAGGATGAAAAGACAAGCTACAGACTGGGATAAGATACTTGCAAATTATATTTCTGTCATAGGACTGATGTCTAGAACTCTCAAACTTGACAGCAAAAAACAAATGATCCAATTACAAAATAGGCAAAAAACATGAAAAGACATTTCATCCAAGAGGACACATAGATAACAAATAAGAACATGAAACAATATTCAACATCATTAGCCATTAGAGAAATGCAAATTAACCAATGTGAGGGATCACTACACATCTAACAGAATGGCTAAAATAAAAAAGTGATAATAAATGCTGGAGAGGATGTCAGAGAAACTAGATCACTCCTACAATGCTGATATGAGCGATGTAAAATGTAAAAATATAAATGTAAAATGGAATTCTACTCTGGAGAACTGTGTCTATCTCAATAAAACTAATTACACAACTACTACAAGACCTAACAATTACCCTCCTGAGCATTTATCTCAGAGAAATGAAGACATGTTCACACAGATACCTGTACATGAATGTTTATAGCAGCTTCATTTATAATAGCCCCAAACTGGAAACAACCCAGATGTCCTTCAATGGGTGAATGATTAAACAAAATATGGTACATCCATACCCTGGAATACCATTCACCAAGAAAAAGCAAGAAAAAATCGTTGATAAATGCAAGAACCTGGATAAATCTCCAGAGAATTATATACTGAATAAAATAATGCCAATCACAAAAGGTTCATACTATATGGTTCCATTTACATAACATGACCTAAAATTAGGAAATTACAGAAATGGAGAACACATTAGTGGCTGCCAGAGATTAAGGGGCAGAAGGGAAGTGGATGTGGCTATAAAGAGGCAAACAAAGGCTGCTTGTGGTAATAAAACTTTTCTCTGTCTTGCCAGCATTGACATCAACATCATGGCTGAGATAACGTATTATAGTTGTGCAAGATGGTACTACTGGGGGAAACCCAGGTAAAGGTTATGTATCTCTCTTACAACAACTACAATTATCTCAAAATAAAAAGTTTAATAAGAAAAACAACTTCACACTCACATATTTGTCTGCAACTTATTTTATAAACTAATAGACACACTATATGCATGCACATACAAAACGAGAGTGTAATATAGAAAGAATTGCAAAATGTTAATAATTGGTGTCTCTAAGTATACTAGTCTTTCAACTTGTCGGAAAGTTTTCAAAATAAGCACTGAGGGGGAAAAAAGAACAGTCTCTAGTTTCCAGATCCTTTGATTTCCTCTTCCAATGTTCCACAGCAAGATTACTCCTATCTGACTGAGCTGTGTGTGTTCATAAGTACCCAGAACCTGGAGAAAAAGGCAACAACACCATGGAGTCGTAGCCTTTGAGGTCTGATCTAAAGGGAATGAAAAAAATACCCTGAAGATGGAACATGTTACAGGATAAAACATGGTATGTTTTACCGTGGAAAAAACTGGCATTATTATCACTCTGGCTCAAGCATATTTGGAAAGCAAACAGTTTCATGCCGGTCAGTGAGAAAATTGGCTTTTTGCTTTTCTTTTTTAAAGCATGAATCCAATTAACTTCTCTCAAGTAAAAGAACACGTGAGTGACAGTGCTCCTCTCAAAACTATTAGCTGTCCTGGGAAATATAATAGAGGTGTGCCCCATGCAGATGGGGCCCGAGTCACTGACTGACTATAAGAACTGGCTAGGCCTCAGTGAAAAATGGCAACAATAACAAGATTAGCGTGGTACTTTCTGTGAGGGTTTAATGGACACAAGGAACATAAAGAGCTTATCAGCACAATTAAGAGCTCATTTCATTTTGCTATTATTAGTAGTATTTAAAATTATTTCATTAAGGCCTTTGATAAAAAATCATTTTAAAAAATGTAAATACATTAAAATAATTTTATTAAAGCAAAACAGCCAAAAGTACATTTTACAAGAATTACTCATGAAATTATTTTAAAGTTAACATTTACCTCATTGTTTTAGAATATGAAATAATGCATGTTAAGTTATAAAACTGTAATTTCAAAGCATTATAAATATAGTAATTTTCAAAGCATTATACAAATATAGTAATTTTGCTTACAAACAGCATAATATAGTGGGATGAATATGATATTTAAAATAAAAAAAACCAAAGTCAAATCCTGACTCTACTGCTTACTAGCTATGTGATTTCTCAAACTGCCTCAGATTTCTCATTTTCAAAAATGAGATAATGTCTTCTGTGTGATAGGGCTATAGAGATTATAGTTTAAAATAAAATCTACACAAAAACACTTCATAAAATTAAAGTACTTGTGACATTAACAAATACAAGTGTTCACATTTCCTGCATGAAATGTCATTCATTATAATTAAATCTGTCAAACTGGATAGAAAATTTCTAAATACAAATCCTTAAGAAAAATTAGAGGATTAAAAAAATAGGGCCACTTGAAACTAAAATTTCTCATCCATCTTTATATAAAGTCAAATGCATATAATTCAAAGTATTTCACCAGAGACTTCTACTGAGTTTTAGATAGCCTTATGTTTGCAGTCCTGAATCTTTCTAACATTCTTTCTATGCAAGCCAGAGAAATGTGTCACTTATAAACGTTACATCAAAAGGTCTGCTTGCTTTACCACATTTCAGCAAAGACATTCCTCTTACTTCTCAGGAATGCCAGGACCTAGCTCCCTATCACCAGGTGCAAAACCTCCTGGCTCTGTAAGTCTCATATCTATCCTGTCTTCAAGTCCTTGCAGGCTTCCTTCAAAGTGTCCTTCCCTCACCCCCCATCCCTACTGCCATTACCAGAGTTTCTTCTTTCATTGCCTTCTGCCTTAAGTAAGGGAATCACCTTCAACTAATTTCCTTTCTTCCAATTTCTCTGTTCTGGCAATCCATCCTAGTCCTCACTAATAAATACCCAAAAATTCTGCTTCTGCTCTTCTTTTACACTTCTTTTATACTTTCCCAAAAGTATAAAATCCTCATGCTGAAGTATAAGAAGAGCTCTTGGGCTCAATAATCAATCACCAAAAAATCTAGAAGTAGCCTTTTACTGCCACAGGCAGCTGACATACTACCACTGAAACCTGGCACAGGAGAGTGTAAACATTAAGTTCACTGGGCTCTAAGTCCATTCAAAATGGAGATGTAGGGGCACCTAGGAGGCTCAGTCAGTTAAGCATCTGCCTTCAGCTCAGGTCATGATTCCAGGGTCCTGGGATCAAGCCCCACATCGGGCTCCCTGCTCAGCAGGAGGTCTGCTTCTCCCTCCCTCTCTGCTTCTCCCCCTGCTCATGCTCTCTGTGTCTCAAATGAACAAATAAAATCTTTTTAAAAAATGGAGATGTTGGGATCCCTGGGTGGCACAGCGGTTTGGCGCCTGCCTTTGGCCCAGGGCGCGATCCTGGAGACCCCCGGATCGAATCCCACATCGGGCTCCCGGTGCATGGAGCCTGCTTCTCCCTCTGCCTGTGTCTCTGCCTCTCTCTCTCTCTCTCTCTCTCTCTATCATAAATAAATAAAAATTTAAAAAAAAGCTTTAAAAAATGGAGATGTAGATCATAAAGCTAACAGAGGCTCAAAAGAGAAGCAAAGAACTCAGACATTATTTTTATTTATTTAAACTCCACAAGCAATTATTAGAATTAATACCTGAAACAAACAATAACAGGAAAATGTTTTTTAAAAAAATGGGGAGAACCTACCTGGTAAAGGCAGGCTGCTGTTCCAAGGAAAAATGCAACAACATAATTAAAATCTTCACCATCACTCTGTAAAAACAAAATTAAAAGTTACTTTTTTTCTGGTGGAAGCTCATTTCCAAAAAGAATCCATCAGGATAGGATACAATAATGTTTATGCACAAATGGTATGTAAGAATTCTCAAGAGTCCTAAAAGTCCAGGGAGTGTGAGGTACAGAAAGACTACGAGTGTTCCTCTATGTTTTGGCCCATCAATTTCATTTTACCCATGTATGAAAGGTGAAATGAAATGAAATCACTATGTCAAAGGGTTTTAAAATGGTGCCAGGGGCAACGAAGGAGATGGGCCTTTATGCACATCCTCACTGATGAAACCGTGAACTCTAAACTGGGCCAAACTACAAATATTCCAAGGACTCTGCCCAAACACCTGCAATTAGCTATGGTAAGAGTCTTTGCTAAGGGGCAGCCTCAGCAACCAATTATACTCAGGCAAGACTAGTTTTCTGCTGCCAACACCAAACAAAATTCTTTGTAAGCAACACATACAAACATTTTTTTTGTCTTCTTTAAAACCTTAAATTTTGTGCCCTAAAGGGACACCTTTTGGGTTGCTACCCAAACTGTGCTCTCCCAGTTGCAATTCAGAGACCCATAAATGCTTTTGTTTTATTTTAGCTCTGCCTCTTAGTCAACCCAAGAAAAGATGAAAGCCAATGGGAAAGTTTCCACATAAGGTAAAAAACAAAACAAAACAAAAAAAAACACAAAAAAAAAAAAACAAAAAAAAACCTCTTTCTCTACTGAAAAAAAAAAAAGCACAACACTCCAGTGGCCTATAAAGTCAGTCCTGCTCACTAGGATCACTACCTGACTCAAATAAGCATTGACAAACCTTACTATCAGGGAAGCATATCATTGAATCATCCAATAAAGTAATTTGACATGATTTAAAAAAAAACTGAAAAGTTACTGTCCACTAGAGTGTGCTAAATCCTAATGAGAACAGTCACACACTGTGCGAGAAAAATAGCCACCCAGAGGAAAAACAGATACATCATATACAGAATGTTTTTTTTTTTCAATGAAAACTAATGGAAAACTAATAGAAAACCCAAGTTTTTCTATTCTTTCTTGATTCCTCTTACATATCTATATTTAATTTCTCTCAGTGTTTTCATGAAGTAAAACATATAGCCCAAGCAGGAGCATTACATTTGGCCCTTATTTTAGAAAAAATATATTTACACAATGAAAATGTTCACAGGACATGGGAGTGTCTCTCATGATAATATATAGAGAAAATTCCTTTTCCATTTGCTATTAGGCAAGAGAACTGATCATAAAGCAGAGGGAGAATGGCTTAACCTAGCAAGATAATCTTAAAATAGGAACCATTAATCTGTCTGGAATGTGTAGGCTTGTTCTACCTCAGAGGCACAGAAGGTCAACATGAAACCTTCCTAACTTTAATAATTCTAAGACTTTAAGTCCTGCTTGTTTTTTCTTAATCCTTCATTTTTTAAGTGATCTTTTTTTCTGATTATAAAAGCTTATGTTGATTATACAGAATTTGGAAAACAGACTGTTACAAAGAAGAAATTCATATAGTCTATAATACCATAACTCCGGGAGGATTCCCACTAACCATTTCATGTATTTCCTTCTGATATTTTCTGTATAAAAATATATGCACATTAAAAAATGGAATTATACTTTTATATACTAGTTTTTAATACTACACATTATATCATAAACTCTTTCTCAAGATACCAAATATTCCTCAAACGCATGATTTGTAGCGATTATTTAACGTTCCATTGTGGGGATATACCATTAATTACCCTACTGGGATATTATTTTTTCCCTTAATTTACAATATCACTTTGTAACTCTCTTAATTGCCTTTGGAACATTTAAGAGCAAGTTCCTGGAGTCAGTCAGACCTGGGTTCAAATCTTTCCTTACTATCTGTATGGTCTTGGACTATTTAACTTCAATTTCCACTTAAAAAAAAAAGTTGTAGAGATTAAATAACATTTGCAAACACACAGAACTGTAACCGGCACACAGTAAGTACTCAAAAACATTTACCAACCTCTCTTTCCCTGAGGTCACTGTCTGCATCATTTATCAGATAATTAGATTATCTTCTAGTATTGTTTAAACCCTTACCTTCTCAAGTAGACCCTAACCTTTATTTTTTTAAATTGAGGTATAATTGACATAAAACATTATATTAGTTTCAAGTGTATGCCATAACAGTTCTATATTTGTATATATTGCAAAATGATCACCACAATAAATCTAGTTGTCATGTGTCACCATACAAAGTTACAATTTTTTTTCTTGTGATAACTTTAAAATTTACTCTTACTTTTTTTTTTTAAAGATTTTATTTATTTATTCATAGACACAGAGAGAGAGAGAGGCAGAGACACAGGCAGAGGGAGAAGCAGGCTCCATGCAGGGAGCCCATTGTGGGACTTGATCCCAGGTCTCCAGGATCACACCCCAGGCTGCAGGCGGTGCCAAACCGCTGCGCCAATGGGGCTCCCCCTTAGTTACTTTCAATATACAACACGATATTATTGACTACAGTCACCATGTTGATGCTACATTCCCATATTTATAACTATAAGTTTGTACCTCTTGGCTCCCTTCACCCATTTTGCCCACTCCCCCAATCCCACTCTAACCTTTATTCAAGGCAGAAAATCAAACTTACTACCTGAATGAAACTGAACGTAGTAGGAATTCAACAAATGCATGTTGAGTTGAGCTTAAAAAAATATTTGTACTTGCCAAAGACTGCCTATAAATATATTCGTTCATTCAATAAATATTCATTAAACATTTATGGGCAAGGTATTTTATTACTAGACTTAGGATAGAAGTAAATCCATATGAACTCAAGGAGCTTACTTTCTAATTAAGGAGGCAGATACATTAACCAACAATTCCCACCCAAAGTGTTAACTGATGGGATAGGTGTGTATACAGGGTACAAAAGGAGACTAGTAGAGATACATCTAATTCTGCCTGGGGTAAAAAGAAAAGGTCAGAAAAGGTTTGTTCAAGGAAGTAAAGCTTAATCTGGGTCTTGAAGAATGAACTAATAGAAAGGGAGACAAGGTGGGGAGAGAATTCCAGGCAAAGAGAATAGCACATACAATCAAAAAGAGGTAAGAGCTTAGGATGACTTCAAGTCTTCTTGTTAAGGCAACATTTGAAAGATACCATTCACTAAATTGGGAATACAGAAGGAAAAGTAGGTTTGAGAGCAGAAAAACTGAGTTCATTCTGGACACGTTATTTTAGAGGGGCCAGTTTGACATCTAAATAATCATATTTCATAGATATTTAAATCAGCTTCAGGAAAAGAGTTGAATCTAGAGATCTTATTTTAGTCATCTATTTAAAGAGTTGTTAAATGCCTAGGACAATCAAATGTAAATCTTAATTCTTGATTGGCTCCAGATTGGAGAGAGGAAAAGAAACTATAAAGGATATTTAGTCAGTTGTAGAAATTTGAATATGAATTTTTAGATTAGATAATACTGCATTGCTCTTAAAATCTTTGGTGTAATAAAGGTATGATGATTACATAGCAGAATTCCTGGTCCTTTAAGGCATACATACTAAATAATTCTGAAATAAACTGTGATGATACCTACAATTTTACTTCCACATTATTCAGGGAAAAAAAAGAAAAAAGAAAGAAGGGTAGGTAGGTATACAGATGGGTGCTAATTGTATTGTCTTTAAAATCTCTCTGTAAGGGATCCCTGGGTGGGGCAGCGGTTTGGCGCCTGCCTTTGGTCCAGGGCGCGATCCTGGAGATCTGGGATCAAATCCCACATCGGGCTCCCGGTGCATGGAGCCTGCTTCTCCCTCTGCCTGTGTCTCTGCCTCTCTCTCTCTCTCCCTGTGTGACTATCTTAAATAAATAAAAATTTAAAAAATAAAATCTTTCTGTAAGTTTGAATTCTTCCAAAATAAAATGCAGTGGAAGGAAAGGGGAATACAAAAATTTAATGCTATGCAACCACTAAAACAAATGTAATAGATCTCCATATACTTATATAAAATGATCTACATATTGTTAGGTGGGAAAGATGCAAATAAGTATAGAGTATGTTGCCATTTATATAGAAATACTTTGAAAAGAACAACTGCATAAGTAAATGTGTACTAGCATATGCACATTATCTCCCTAGCAGGATAACCCAGTGGTTGACTTTAGGGAAGAGAAATGGGAAACTGTTTCATGAAAATGAAGGGATAAGAAATTGTTGGGCAGTGTGGGTGGCTCAGTGGTTTAGCGCTGCCTTCAGCCCAGGGTATGATCCTGGAGACCCGAGATCGAGTCCCACATCGGGCTCCCTGCGTGGAGCCTGCTTCTCCCTCTGCCTGTGTCTCTGCCCTGCTCTCTCTCTCTCTCATAAATAAAAAAATCTTAAAAAAAAAAACTGTCAAGAAGAATAATGTAACATAAACTATTAATAGTAATTGATTTGCTTCTAAGTTCTCTCAAATAAATTTTATTTCTGAAATTAAACACTTTTAATAGGAAAAACTGAATAGTATGTGAGATGAGGCAGAGAGGTCACATAAGATGAGACCTCAAGAGTGGCTGCAGCATTTGGCAATTGGATACCAGTGAGCTTAATGGTCAGGATTTGGAAGAATGAAGGGCAGAAAAGAGATCACAAGAGATGAAGAGAAGAGGGGTGAAGGAGTGGGAACAACAAACAGTATATTCTTTCAAAAAATGAGAAGGGAACATACATCAAGAAGGTTTTTTGGTTTTTTTTTAAAGATCGGCACACTATGGCATGTTTATGAGCTTGGAGAAAAGAGCCAGTAGATTGGAAGAGATGAAATGCAGGTGAGGGAACAGCTAGCGGTTGAGGGAAGATGGGACAGAGGTTCAGAGTGGGAGGGCAAGAACAGAGGGATGAAGGCAGGGGGCAGAGCAGGGAAGGAGGGGGTAGGCTAAGGAGTTCAAATAAAAATTTTAAATATGTTACTTTTACCCTTAGGGTAATACTAGGATACCAATATA